ATTGCATATACAACTTCTAATTTCTCTTTATGAATGAAAATCCTAAGACAAATGCCTCATACACAGTGCTAAAGAATCTCCTTTCACAATACCTGCAACATATCCATTGCTGACTGCCTTTGCAAACAAAAGGCTAGGTTAAATCAAGGTTAAGTTTAAGGAATAAACAGTGTTTATATGTCCTCCATGTAACAAACTGCCTAACACAGTGCCTTCTGCGCTAGCCTATCTGAAAAGGGAAAAGAGATGTACTTGGGACTGGATGAAAGACTGGAGCAATCCTGAACATTTTCAGTTGATTTTGATCCAGGTAACGTATTAAGTCATCAACTTGTGTTTATTATAAGGTATGTTATTAACATGGGGGGGGGTGTTCATTGATGATACAGAGATTTCTTTCCCTCGAGGGAGGTGGCTGGCAAACATAATTTAGTTTCATACAGCCATAAAAATCGACATAACTACTACTTAAATGTAAAGATCAATGAATACACTTTTGATATTCAACATCCTGATCAGAAGCGAAGCTTTCTCGTAATTCCATCGACTCGATTTTAACATATTCGTACTTAAAGCCCTGTATCAAACCGCACGCACGGCACTCTCTCTTCAGCACCGAAGGGTGCCGGCTGCAGGGATTTATTCCCCAGTTAAATTCAGCTCTCCCCAATGCAGTCAGGTATGGGGCGACAGGACCGACATCTCCTTTCCCCACAAGACAGGCCGCGGATGGCAGGGGCACCGAACGGGGCCCTGCTTACGAGCCCGGCCTCCCCTCGCACCCCGCTGCCGTTAGGGCCCCCATGGCTGCCCCCAACCGCCACCACGGCCTGGGACTGGCGAGCGCCCTTAGGCGCCGTGCGGCAGGAAGGCTGAAGGAGGCGGGCACTGGCAAACGAGAAGCTGGGCGCTCAGCACGCCTCACTTTCCCAGTGCCGGTCGGGGGAAGCTCCCCGTAGCGCGCCCACAGCCCCCCTGCCCGGTACCTCACCTGCTCTCCGCCGCCGCCGCCCGCCCTTGCCCCTCCCTCACAGCGACGTACGTACGCCGCGGGGGCACGGCGAGCGCTGGCACAGAGCCAGCAACGGAGAAGAAGGAAGAGGAGGAGCGACTGCTTTTACCCTTCGCTCAAGGACGGGCGGCCTGTCCTAGTGGCGGGGTGAGCGCATGTGTGACCGGGAACGCCGGCCCGCTCTGCTGCACCGCTCACCGGCGGAGGGAACCCGAGACCTGCCCAAGCCGCACGCTGCCGCCGCCTTCGGCCTGAGCGCCTGCAGCAGCCGGCGCAGCGGCACGTGACTAGGCTGCGCGTGGAGGCAGCGAGAGCCAGCAAGGCTCAGGCAGCCGTGGCGGGCTGGCCGGCTGGCGCATGCGCAGTGTGGCGGGGGAGGTGGCTTTGCGATGCCGGGCGTGGCGGTAGGCTGGGCGCGCGGGTGGCTTGCGGGCATAGTATTGTAGGATCATAGAATCAGCTTGGGTGGAAGAGACCTTGGAGTGCATGGAGTCCAGCCGTTACCCCAGCACTGCCAAGTCCACCACTAAGCCATGTCGGTGAGGGCCTCATCTGCACGGTTTGTGAACACTTCCAGGGACGGTGATTCCACCACTTCCCTGGACAGCCTGTGCCTATGCCTGAGCACCCTCTCTGTGAAGAATTTTTCCCTAACGTCCAATCTAAGCTTACCCTGGTGCAGCTTGAGGCCATTACCTTTTGTCTTACTACTTGTTACCTGGGAGAAGAGACCAGCCGCTTCACTCCATCCTCCTTTCAGGTAGTTGCAGAGAGTGATGTGGTCCCCCTTGAGCCTCCTCCAGACTGAACACCCCCAGTTCCCTCAGCTGTTCGTCATAGGACTTGTGCTCCAGACCCTTCACCGGCTGTGTTATCCTTTTTGGGACCTGCTCTTGCAATTCAATGTCTGTTGTAGTGAGTGGCCCAGAACTGAACACAGGATTCGAGATGCAGCCTCACCAATGCTGAGTACAAAAGGACAATCATGTCCCTAGTTCTGCTGGCCACACGATGAGTGGATGAGTGTATAGGACAAGCAGCTTTTCATGTTTTTTTTTTAAATAGGTACGTTTACACCTGTAAACCTTAACTGCTTTATAACCTTTGTTCTCCTGAGTGAATTCCACCTTAGTAGGTGATAAATTTCCCCGCCTCTTCATGGGTTTGTGAAATGGCTTCCCCTGCAGCACTTACCCAGACAAAGGCTTGGTCTTTCACAGCATCCTCACCCTTGCCCATAACATGGTTTTCAAAAAGCTGTGAGTGCCCCTAAACAGCCATGCTAGCAGTAGTGTTAGCGTAAGAACTGACACATAACCACTGGAATGGTTATATGAGGTGCTTTATTGCAGCGCTGGGAAACCAGGGGCACGCGCCCAAATCTGGCTTCGACCCCATCACATCGCGTTCGCAATTTATACACTAAAAATTTCGTAACTAATGCATATTCAGCACAGATTACATCGTTGACTAATTACAACATCAGCCTCTTCTGCGCTTGCCCAGCCCCCTCTGGTGTTCGTCCCGATGAAGCAAGGAGTCTTCCTCAGATGAAATAAGGAGTCTTCCTCCCCTTATTCTTTTCACCTTTCTGTTCTTTGGACAGGCCCCAACCATTATGTGGACGCCAGCATTCTCACTTCCTCACTTGGCTTGTCCTTTTATGTTGCAATGATTTCACAAAGCTACCAATATTGCAGAGATGAAATTTTCTGCTGCTTAAGATACATGGTTTCTATTTCTAGACAAAGCTTCCTTGTAAACAATACAAAAATTATGAATGTCTGTATTATCAAGACACACAGTTAGACAAAGCTTCCTTGTTCTAAACCACAACGTCTTAGGCCAGACACCCTGTGTCCTTCTCGTTGTTATGTTAGTTTCTACTGCTGAGGCTACCACAGCAAAGTTACAACATTCTTTTAATATACAGAAGTCTACTATTGATTCGAAAACTTTTCAAATATAGTCATTTCTGTTGCTCTATATAATTATTTTAATGTAAAATTTCAGTCTCTTTCTAACAGTAGGATAAGCAGTCATTCCCTGGGCTCACCCCAAAAGGCTGTGCAAGGCCTGTAGTGACCCAAGTTCCTGGCCTCTGCTGCCTTCTTGTGGGGCAGTCAATGTTCCTACAGCCTCCATGAATGGCATCAGCTGGCTGTTGGGAAATGGTGACTTCAGCTAAAGGAAGCTGAAGCCAAGAAACAGTTCTCATCCTCAGCCTGAAAAGGAGGGCCCAGATGCATGAACTGAAGGCCCAGCAGATGGAAGGCAACAATTTATTTCCTCCTTGAACACCAGCATGTATTATTAAAAAAAAAAACAATTGAAAAAAAAACCCTGTGTTTTTTTTTTAATGGTTCTTGGTGGGGTGTGGGTGAGTATGCAGCATATCCAGCCAATGCAACGGTGGCATTGATGTCAGAAAGGAAGCAATAAACACACAGAGCAATCTGCTTTGTTTTACAGCCTCCGATGTTATACTCTGGCTGCTCATCCTGATACAGCTTTGCCAGTATGCTATCTTGGTGAATAAACAATTCTAAAATCCACTGTTTCAGAGATATTTTTTATTTCTGTTCACTAGATAATGGTATTCTGCATTTTTAAATTTCAGATTCGCCTTCTGTGAAAATCAGATTCTGATATTGGAACTTTAGGTATATATTGCCTCTATCTACTGCATATTCACTTCATTACCTAGGAAAACAAATTGATCAAATAATTGCAATACAAATTGACCCACTGAAAAGAAGTTTAAATTATGTTCTGCTGGCCAGTCATGTAGCAGAGAGATGTTTCAGGGCTGCACGTGTTCTGTTCCTGACTTATGTTGTCACAGCCTTCTGACAAGAAGAAAACAATCTGAAAACCGTTGTAAAAGAGAGAGAAATTCTTACGAGAAATAAGAATTTTCTTTCCTTGTGCTGATTTGCTCTTCAGTCACAGGTAGACAATACAGAACTGGGAGTTTGCAAGTCTGAGGAAGGCAGTCCACAGATACCTGATAAGGTAGGAGGCATGTCTTCTTAAACTGGGAGGTTCAAGTACAGCATTTGTTTAACAGCACATAAGCTGTTAATTTCATAGAAGTTTCAAATAAACTTCACCGATTTCCTTAAAAATGAGTTCTAGTGGTGTAAAAAGAGTGGCTTATGTTTCTATTAATGTGGTTTTATTTCTCATTGCCTAATTTAAGACACACAGATGCTACTTAGTGCTATGTTGGGATACATTAATTTTGTTTTCAGCAACGAGTAGTAGCTCTGCAAGCTTGTCAAACATTAACCAAAGGATTTCAGATAGTACCAGGAAAGGATTAGGGTAGTGAAGAGGATGTTATTAAGAACCAGTACAGAATAAAATGACAGATATTATATACATTGTATCTCTGGCACTGCTTGTATTATATTTCTTCAAAATGTAAAAAGAGTAGTATTTAAGGGGGCACAATTCCAGTGTCTGCTAGATACAATAACCTTTACATATATACATGTAAGGGTATGTCCTATTACAATGAGTAGGTCTGTGAGAGTTATGTGTGCAGGCTTTAACTGCAATGTTTGTGTTTAGCTGTAATGGTTGGACTTGATGATCTTAAAGGTTTTTTCCAACCTAGTTGATTCTATGATTCTATGCTTTATTTTTACAAGTTGTCTTTGAGATTCTTTACTTAGATGATTTAAAATTGCTCTTAACATGGGAACTGCGCAATGATCTCAGCTTTTTGATACATATTGTAGCTCTTTTTTTTTTTTTTCTTTTTCACTAGGGTTGAATACCATTAACATTGTTAATTGATTGATGGGGAGGAGTTGTTTTTGTTGTTAGCTAAGGAAAAAAGGAAAGAGAGGAGAGTGGTCCACACTGCTGAAATCTGTGGGAAGGTTTGTTTTGAAGGGTGGGTGGCAGTAAGGGGATCCTGCTGGGGATTCTGCTCTTAGGCAGTTTGCAAGTCTGTCTGTTTCTTTCACCCTCTCGCTATTCTCCTTGGCTTTATGAGGTCAGAAATCATTTTGATCTGAAGCAGGAGGTGAAGGAAGAACTCAAATCTGTCTGGAGGACTCTTCAGTTTTTGTGTGGACAAACAGCAGGGTCTGACACGGTAAGGGAAGATTATTCAAGTGAGACACTCTCTTTACAGCCTTTCTGCTAGGACCAGCTTTCTTACCAGCTTTCTTTTCTTCTAGCACGCTTTTGAATTGCTTTGCAAAAAATGTCATTAATGTCCTAACTATGATATGGAATGGAAATGTGCTTTTTTCTCCACAGGGTAGGTTTCACTCTCTTCCCAGTCAGGAACTTTAATCTATTTTGCATTAGAAAACTTCAATTAATTACAAAATTATATTTAAGGGAAAAAAATAATTATGCTTTCAAAAACACTTTGCATTTTATTAGTAATTGTTGGACCATGGTGCCTAATGAAGCTTTATTGAGAGCATGTTGATGTCTTTGTTAGAGACAGAGCAGCTGTAACCCTTTACTTTTAAATTCACAGCAACTTCCTAGTGACTCCAAAATTATTTATCAAGCAGTGACAGAAGGAAAGACGAAGTCTGACATATTGGACTGTCACACAGTATAAAGACTCAGAAAAATCTATTGCAGGGAAATCAGTCTGGTGATTGATAGAGGATTAAACATATGTTCTGTGTTTATACGCATAGAGTGCAATACTTAAAATAAGTCTCTTAGTTAATCCATGATCATCTGTAGTCCCCATGGACAGGCTACTTGAAGTACTAACATTGTACTTGAACAATAGAATAATGATGAAAATATATATAGTTACATTTTAGTTTGTTGATACCAAGTTAAGACATCTTAATACTCTCTCAGGAACTTTAAACATGATTATTGATTTATCACAATTCTATGAACTTATTTTCTGAAATATTATACCTCAATGTCACCATTTAGCTTCTGTTTGCCTTTGGAAGCTATGCAGTGAACTCAAACCAATGGCTATGATTTCCTGGGAAAAGAATGCTGATATGTGACTTGCAAACCTGGTGTTTCATGATATCTTTAATTTATTATCTATTTCCTGGGTAAGGACTGGTTTATGCCATTAGCAGCTTCCTTAAAGGTCATGTTGTGCGGTGTTTTTTCTTTCTGACATTTGTCTACATTCGGCACATACAGAAAAATTAAGTTTGCAGATGTGACCTACATTGAGTATGATAATATTCCTGAAATAAATCACAACTAATTTACCAAGAAATATTACTGAGGACCTATTTTAAATGTCAGTGTGCTAGTGAAATTAACTGTTGTTCTTTCATTGAGCATTCTGTTCAATTGTCAAAGTATAAAATCTGTCTTGAAGACTGTCTTTGCCATTTATTACTGAGCATGTTTGCACTCATAAAAGTTCCTAGATTGACTACAGTGTTACATTTATCTGGTAAGTTACCTAGAGTATTTGTACGGAACTTTCAGTCCTGTCCTGTGTAGTTTATGCAAAGGACTTGATGAGGCCTTGTCATGACAAGATTATTTCAGTTTGGATACTTAAGAGAGGAAATCTTAACTGTGCTGAAACAAGTGGAAAAAATTCTCTGTGATTTCATTGTTGGCAGCATTTAAATCAAATGTGAATGATGCCTCCATCCAGTGACACTGCTGGTGCAGTTACTTTGTTCAGATGTCTTATAGGTACCTTTCTAATGCAAACTGGCTTGATATTACCAGTTATGAGTGATGTAGTTTCTATATTTTTGCTTTTTTTTTTTTCACAGGTTTGTGAAATAAATAAATAGTGCTATATATGTTCACTCTGGGTTTGCACAGGTTCATGGCTGATCGGGTGCTTGTGATTGGCAGTGGAGGGAGAGAACATGCACTGGCCTGGAAGTTGGCCCAGTCTCCACATGTAAAACATGTGTTTGTTGCTCCAGGAAATGCAGGAACAGCTGACAATGGAAAAATTTCAAATTCAGGTAAAAAGAGGGGTGGGGAAAAACATAATATGCGTCAAGCAGTCAGTAAAACAGAACTGAAACAGTTTGTTTCATTTGGAATTGGCCACACTTGTGTTGAGTTAGTAGGAGATAACAGCTACTCTTTTCTTTTACTGGTACCACTAATTATTTAAGGCAGAAAGTTGTTTTTTCTGGATGTTTTGTTTCTGGATTTTAGAGCTGCCTAATAAAACATTGTACTGTATCTATTTTTAGCCTAGCTTCTTAAGATAGTCAGGCTTACACAAGAGTCTGTATTTCTACACCTCATCTCACTGTTAGGCTTGAATTCACTGGCCAATTTCAGCAAAACTTAACAGAGGTATAGAAGGCTTAAAGTTACTAAGTTCTGAATAGAAACTCTTCTGGTGTCAGCCCAGGCTGCTCATCTAAATTTAGCTACATCATGCACTGGCATTGAGTAAATCTCTGCTCAGATGTTGAAATTGAGTTTCTGTATGAACTTACCATTTTATTTTTTGAAGCTTTTATCCTGTTATGATAAGCAGCTTTTAAAAATCTATATTGATTACATCCAGCACAGAAAATACATTTCATAAGTTAGTAGATGGGTATTTAAAAAAGTAGCACAAATTGCAAATGTTCTCTGTTGCTTCTGGACTCTGTTATTATTATACTGTTTGTTGTACTTTTCCCTTCATGGATTGTTTCATTATTTTAATATTATTAGGGAGATGGAACAATGACATTTTCATCTCGGTCTCTTATTTAGGCTTTACAGTAGTAACTTAATTATATTTCCTTTTCCTGTTTTAGCTGTATTAGTGAGCAATCACACTATTGTTATCCAGTTCTGCAAAGATCATAACATTGGACTTGTGTTAGTTGGAGAAGAAGCTCTTCTGGCAGCTGGTAAGGCTAAAATAAGTTGACAATAAAAATCAGCTCCTTAAATTCTGCTTTAAAATGTCTTCTTTCAGGTCTTAGGATGCACACTGACTTGATTAAACAGAAGAGCAAGACAATTTGGATTATCTTGTAAATTATAGTTACTTAAAACATGTGGCTTCATAGCTGTGTGCTGCTTTTTGTATGCTAGAGATCAGCAGGGAAATCATGCAGGATCAAGATTCAGTAATGGTTACAAGTATTCTTGTGTCTTCTCTTCTGCTTTCCTTTATTAAAGAATTTTCTTGCAGTAGTCCTCATGTTGTTGCTGTATGCTACAGTACCCAGACCATCATGTGCATTTATTGTGATGTGGTACAGTAAGATCTCCATGTCTTCAACAGTGAACGGAAGTACCATACAGTCCTAACAGTAGTCATGGGGTGGTAATGTAAAGAGCTGAAGACCTCTTAGAACTAAATGATGAAACAGGTCATTGGATATGCAGAACTTTATTTTAAGGATTAGTTAGCTCTTCTGAGACAAGGAAACATCGTAACAGAGTGCTGAAATGGTTATGTGGCTTTCCTTTTGTCAGAAAGGCTTGGCGTTTCCAAAGAGACAACTCGATTCTTCTGCTATTTTTGGTAATTAGGGATTGTTGATGACTTGAGAGCAGCAGGAGTTCGGTGTTTTGGTCCATCTGCAAAAGCAGCCCAGCTGGCATCCAACACCAGTTTTGCCAAAGCCTTTCTGGATCGACATAGGATCCCAACAGCAAGATGGAAAGCCTTCACCAATCCTCAGGAAGCTTGTAGATTTATTATCAGGTAAATATTTTGATACTGGAAACTCCTCTGTTAGGTTAGCTGTGCATTTGGCCTTCACCCATCATAGTTGCCTAGAACTTGGTAACTTTTCAATTGTTGTTCTTCTCAAGTAGCTACCTAATGTAATTAGAGACAAATGGTGAAGATGAAAGGGACTTCAACAGGTTAATCTTTCTGTTCACAGGTCATAGCTCTTATTCCCTTTCATCAGCTTCCTCAGGATGCTAGTTAGCCTTTTAAAAGACAGAAAAATTGAGAGAGAGAAAAATATTTCAATAAATCTTTCTGTAAAGTTAAGAATAATTTCTACACAGACACATATTAGCAAAATGCTATCTGTGGAGTGATTTGGGAGGTACTGGTCAAATACAACTTAAGAAAGATCCTCTTATTCGTTCAAGGCTTGACAGCATCTCTCTTCCATGGGGAGAAAAGTAACTGCATATCTCCACAATTGCTTTGAGCAGTAATACCTCTTAAGTCACTGAGGATCCTTTGGGAAAGCAACTTACCGCTGTGGCTATTTTGGTCCAGTCTTACAGCAGCTGCTGTGTTCAGCTGCGCTGGTCTGTGGCTGTGTGTCAGTATCAGGGACTTCTTGTCTTTACTGTCATGTGCTACTAGCTCTAGTGGAACTTTTTTTTTTTTCAATAAAAACAACCTTTTCACTGGCTTTGCTCTGTAAGTATTTAGTCTATATTAGGGCCATGTAGAGAAACAGGCCAACAACTTGTATGTCTCTGAGCATGCATAAGACTCAAAAAGGAAAACTGTGTCTCAGGTCAGCACACAGAGATGTGGAGAAAGGGAGTGTTGTGTGAGCCTGCTTTGGATGCTTGTATAAATCTAGGGTTGAGATTTATCCTAATATAAATACTGATGTGGAAAAGAGGAATGAGATGTTGTTTCAGAAAACAGGGTAGTAGTGTGTAGAATCAACTCTTCAAAAGGAACACAAGCTAAGAGAGATGAATGGATAAAGTGAAGTTAAAATATGTTAACTATGCTGTTTTGTTCATTTTTTTTTCCTTCTAGTTTTTGTTTGTGTTTAAGAGTAAGTGGAGAAATTCTGGGGATACAGTGTTAATACACTAGTTCTGTTATATCCTTTACATGGAAGACCTATCTCTACCTTAACCTTACAATTCTAAACAGGACTTCCATAGTGATTTATAGGATTATGTACTGTAATCTGGTGTTATAAACCAATAAATCATGAATGAGTTTTTCTTTTCAAACCTATGACAGGAATAAAACAGTAACCCGACTCAGGGAAAAGAGGAAGAAACTGCGAGGTGTTAAAGTTTGGTGACTTCTCCAAGGGTATGCACTGAGCTGGTGCCAGAACCAACAACAGAATTCATGGATTTCCGGTTCACAGTCCTGTGCTAAGGGCTGTTAGAGTCCATTCACCTCTATGACAGGATGGGCTAGCAGGGAGCATGTTTTTCTGATATGTTAGTCTTCAACCATTCAGAAAAAAAAGAAAGACTATAGGAGGCATTCAGCTTAAAAAATGATAGTTCCATTGGATATGATAGGGATGTCTGAATCTCAGTTTTGCTTTCATTTAAAGCACAGACTTTCCTGCACGAGTTGTACGAGCAAGGGGCCCTGCTGCTAGAAAAGAAGTGACTATTACAGCCAGCAAAGAGGAAGCCTGCAGAGCTGTCCAAGAGATTATGCAGGTGGGTAAATCTTTAATTAATCAGTGGGAAATCCAGTTCTTGATGTTCTCTAACCTGTGAGATTGTAATTTCAGCCACAGGAAGCAAGTGTTTAGAGGAGAAGCTTGCCTATTTGACTCAGGAATTTCTCTGGGTATCATCCTCAAATTCCATTCAAACAAGCCAGACTTTTCCTATATGTTGGTTTTGGGTTGTTGTTTTTTTTTTCAGTTAGAAGAAAATGAAGAAAGGATTTAGACAATAGATGTCATGTTTACTAACTGGAGCCTTTTTTTTTTTGTACAGGACAGAATGTTTGGAGAGATGGTTGTTATTGAAGAACTCCTTCAAGGGGAAGAAATTTCTGTATGTGGTGGATGGTGTGATTAAGTGCTTTTTTCTTTGGCATTACGGTTATGCTCTATGCGTAAATGCATGAGTTCATTGTTTCAAATAGGTTTTCTGTTTTGTTTGCACTTACATCAACAAATCTGTAATCTAAGAAACTTGCTATCGTAATAATCAATGCATGTTGTCAGTAGAATTTTCTTCTACATTAGCCATGAAATTGCAAGTATGGTGATCTTTTTAGGTGAAAATGATCTTTTTTCCCCAAGGTGACTTGAAAACATGTTTGTATGGACTTTGTCTTGGTAATTCTTGTTACATCAATAACTTTGTGCTAATGTTTAGTGCCTATTTTAGTTAGCACTTTCCTTTTCCTGGATTACAAGACTTAAGGAATGCTTACTATATGCCACATGAAAACTGAAAACACGTTCTTGTGCAAGTTTTGTCCTGCACTGAGAGTACCTCACACTAGTTCAGGCCCTGGATCTGCAAACACACAGGTTTAACTTGAGCCATGAATAATTCTGTCCAGTCAATGACAAAGGCAATTCACGTGCCTTAAGGTAAGCATGTGTTCACGTGACTGATAGGTCAAGATCTAATTAATCAGGAAGGGATTGTTATGAGGGCCACCGTTTCTCTTGATTATTTAAAAATGAGAAAGAAAACTCCATGAATCCTTCAGGTCAGTGGGCTTGCAGTAGAATCCTGCTGCATGTGGATTCTATTGCTTTCTATCTTCGATTCTTAAATTTTCCTGGCAGAACTGAGCCTCAGCCTGTGGACCAGAAGTGTTAACTTCTCTTATGACAGGACACTGTCACTGTTTCTGTATTGTGTGCATCTCTTAACAGTGCTTGTGCTTCACGGATGGTGTCACTGTTGCTTCAATGCCCCCAGCCCAGGCCCACAAACGATTGCTGGATGGTGACCAGGGTCCAAACACTGGAGGGATGGGAGCCTACTGCCCAGTTCCTCAGGTACGGCAGTCCTCCTCAGCCTGCAGTAAGGATCACGTGTGGTTAATAGATCTTCCTTAGGGCTCAATCTTGTTTCTATCACATAGGCCAGAGTTCTTCTGGAATTGATTGACACTTTGCTTGTATAAGTGCAATGCAGGGCTCAAACCTTATTAGCCATTCTTCAAGATTTAGTGAGCCAGTATTCTGAGGAGTGGTCTCTTAACTTTTTCATTATTCCTGAACTTAGCATTTCTCTGCTGCTATTAGCATCCCTTGAAATGTCCCTACAAAATTCCCCACATGCATGAAGTCTTTGTGTCTTGAGCATAGAATCATAGAATAGTTAGGGTTGGAAAGGACCTTAAGATCATCTAGTTCCAATCCCTCAGCCATGGACAGGGACACCTCTCACTAAACCATGTCACCCAAGGCTCTGTCCAACCTGGCCTTGAACACTGCCAGGAATGGAGCATTCACAACTTCCCTGGGCAACCCATTCCAGTGCCTCACCACCCTTACAGTAAAGAACTTCTTCCTTATATCCAATCTAAACTTCCCCTGTTTAAGTTTTAACCCGTTACCCCTTGTCCTATCACTACAGTCCCTAATGAATAGTCCACCTCCCCAGCATCCCTGTAGGCCCCCTTCAGATACTGGAAGGCTGCTATGAGGTCCCCACGAAGCCTTCTTTTCTCCAAGCTGAGCAGCCCCAACTTTCTCAGCCTGTCTTCATACGGGAGGTGCTCCAGTCCCCCGATCATCCTCATGGCCCTCCTCTGGACTTGTTCCAACAGTTCCATGTCCTTTTTATGTTGAGGATACCCAAACTGCACACAATACTGTTTTCCTTGTTCTTGATTCCTAAAGCTGACTGCATTTTTTAAAATATATTGCACAAGTATATTATTAGTGCTCTTTTGCTGTGAGTGCAGGAACAATCTTACTGTGTGCAGCTCAGGTTTCTTGTGTCTCAAACCTCCTTAAAATTGGCCTTCTGAAGAAAGAACCAAACAAAAAATCTTGGGAGACAGAGGGTTAGTGCAGTTGGCCTTCAAACAGCAGCACTCTAATGAAAAGTGCTCAGTGGTTGGGGTTGGAGAGCAGAAAACATAGCTGAAGCATCTACTTACCCTAGTCCTTCCAGGTCCTATGACGTAGTTCAGCAAATGTCATCACTGTCTCAATCAGTTTGATGTTGATCATCAGGTTCCAGAAGTTCTTCTAGAGAAAATCAATGATGCTATCCTTCAACATGTTGTTGATAGTATGAGACAAGAAGGAACAGCATATGTAGGTAAGTAAGCAATTCACCTGAAAAGCAAAGTCATGTCAAGGGTAGTTTCCTTGTTAGAGATTGCTGCTGAATTCCAAATATATATTTTTTTTAAGTAGTTAATTTTTCCTTCAGTATTAAGCCTCACTGGTTTTGCCTTATAGCTCTTCCTTTATCGAGAAGAATTTACCTTTTCTCCATAAAACATATGTATTTTTATTAATTTTTTTTTTTATTATGAATGTTGCGATCAGACTCTTTGTAGTTCAGGATATACTATATACTTCAATTGTACTGTTCTCTAAACAGCAGTGTAAATTTTCTGAAGATCTCTGTCTTCAGCCTGTTTTGAAAAAGGCAGGTGATGCTCACAACTGTCACTAAAAACCAGTGGCTACTTTTGATACTGAAGAGGTACTGAGGACCACACACTAGATATCTAAAGAGTTGTGTTCCAGCCTGAGATGTGTTCTCTGCTATTTGGTAACTTTTTTACAATGCCCAAATCTGCAGTAAGAATGTAGTGCGAGTTGAGCATTTTCATGATGATGGTGGAGGACCTGATCCTTTGTGGGGTTTAAAATCTAAGACTTGTTATTCTCTGGCAATTGGTTTTCTGATTATACAGTGAAAGACTTTCTTTAGTTCACCATATGCATATATGTGTGTTGCAGTAGAAATTACCTAGTACCAACTTCAGTAAATTTTTCTTTGATTTTGATTGTTAACAGCAGTAGTGGTTTGGTATTTTTGACTGAAATGCAGAGTTTTGCATCTATATTCATGTATAACAATAGTGCACTTAGTGGTAAGAAAATCACAAGGCCTGTGTAATGAATGGGGTTTTATGAGAACTGGGTTTTTTTCATCCTGTCAGCTCCTTCTGATCTCTGAACACCTGCATTTAGAGAGCTGTAACAAAAGGCAGAACTTGACTTTCTGATGCAGAGACATTGCTTTCTGCTGTATTCAGTCTCAAATGCAGTGGAATGTTCCTCAGGTTGCTGATTCCCTTTTTTTTTGGTTATTGTGGAATTTTCATGACTTGCGTATAAGTGCTTGCAGAATCCTTGCTCTTGATTCCTTATGATTTGCAGAAATGCATTCCACATTCCAAGATATGGTGTTGCATTTCATAGAATCATAGCATAGTTTGGTTTGGAAGGGACCTTCAAAGGATATCTAGTTCCAACCCCCCCTGCAATGTCGGGGGCATCTTCGGCTAGATCCGGTTGCCCAGAACCCCATCCAGCCTGGCCTTGGATGTCTTCAGGGATGGTGTGTCCACCGTCTCTCTGAAGAACCATAACCTTTTAAATGTAATTTAAAGGAGTTCTTGAAAAGTAAGTGTTCAAATTAATTTGCTTGGCTGTGTTATTTCTGTTCAGGTGTGCTGCAAACAGGTTTAATGCTTACCAAAGATGGTTTGAAAATTTTGAACTTTAAATGTCAGTTTGGTGACCCTCAGTGCCAGGTGAGTGAAAGATACTAGCAACTTAAATATGCTTTGTTTTTTTACCTCTGAGTGTTCTAGATCACCTCTAGGGAAATGTCTGAATCTGTATCTTCCTTCCCCCGAAAATGCAGATCTGAATGTGAATGTCTTAGACAATGTATGATGTGACTTAAAATTGTGGTTAGTCAGCTTCTGTGAATTATTAGTTAGAGACTGTAACTTAAAGAGCTCTTCCTCAGGTTTTATTTTTCTGGATAGAAGCAGAGTGGGAGGAGCCTAAATTCATGTTCTTTCTACATAATCTCACATCTCATGTTTATAAATTTATGACTGTAGCAGAAAGATGCTGCAAATTAATGCTCACCTGTAGGTTCCAAATCTACTGGTATAGGGATTTTCAGTTTGGCAGGTACAGAGTTTACTTTATTAATTGAATTTTCCCTAAGTTGGATTTCAGGAAGTCAGCAAAATAAAAATTACCTTCTATCACAATGAAACTTTTTTGCAGGTAATTCTTCCACTGCTTAAAAATGATTTTTATGAAGTGATTCAAGCAACAATTGATGGCAAACTCTGCAGCTTCATGCCAGCCTGGTCAGAAAATAGTACAGCTGTGTGTGTGGTCATGGCAAGTCCAGGATATCCAGGAGACTATGACAAAGGCATGGAGGTGACAGGTAACAGCAGTAGTACTTCAGTAGGTTTGCATTCTTCTCCCAGAACCTCCCTGTACAGCTTTCCTCCATCCCACCCGTGACACCTTATTAGAGTCTGCTTTGATGCATCACCCCTTGTGGAACAAATAGCTGTTCAGCAAGATCTTGTAACTGGAGTGTATGCCTGTCCATAGCTCAGTGTCTAAATGTTTAAAGGTACATTATTACATAAAGCTCTCTCTGTAGCTGGTTACTGAGATAAGAAATTGATGGGGAACTCTGTCCTCCTGGAACAACTCTGGTGTGTCCACATGGAGGACTTTCACAAACTGTGCTAGAAGCGTGGGCTGCAATGTTGTCAGCACACGACTGCTTTTTCCTGTCTTTGCTCTCTTGCCAGCAGGTCGTGTTATCTTGGCTAATGCCTGATGAGTGATAAGGGTGAGTCTTGAGGACCTGTGGTCTTTAAAGTAGGAGCCGTGCATTCCTCCACCATCAGCTTGGTTCCTTCCCTTGTGCCAGCTAGCCAGGGTCATTGCTGTGTAATAATAGTAAGAACCTCTTCACAGGGCTGAAGGGTTTGGAAAGGTGGGCACATGGGCTCTAGATCCATATTCATTTTATGTGTTAAAATTATTGTTGCTTAATATCTCATTAAGATTTTTTAAATGTTTAAAAACAGACGGAACTGTTGCAGGACTCTTTCCTTCCCCCTCAGCTGCTGTCTTGCCAGTCCAACACTGTGCCCTGTGTAAAGCAATCCAGACAACTGATCTGGGGCCACCTTATTTTCATCATAATTCCAGTTACCCTACATCAGCCAGGGAGAAGGTCATGTTATGTTGCTTTTGCCCTTGTTGAGATTTCTGTTGTCGCATTCTCCTCATCCACTCTCCTAACTCCCTTGTTGTATTTATTTTTTGTCAGTGGTATTGTGGGGAACTCTGCATTTCTGTAACTGTGAAAGTCCATACCACAGAACTGAATGGATCCTTCTGGTATCAAGCTAGCTTTTACTAGTCACACTCAGGAACTTAAAAAGTTTCCAAGCTGATATTCGTATCTTTAGGAATGAGATGGTATGACCCCCCTGCTTATTAATCACACACAAAAAAAAACCAGTTGAAACAATGAAATTCAGTCCATTTGCTTATTATAATCCAGCCTCTGGAGTTGTGTGGGTTCTACTAGTTTTTTTCCTACGTTTCATGTTGATTGCCACATTTTAATGGCTTACCGAACATTTTATTCTGGAGTATTCCTTAAAACATGATGGGACGGAATTAGGTTTCCATTGCTGCAAGGCAGCTGGGGCTCAGCTTTGACCTTGTCAGGGCTATGCTGTGGCAATGTAACACACTGTACTTTCAGCAAGTATAAAGGTCCTTTTTACTCATTTATAAAATTCATATGACTGATAGTAAGAGGGAAACTGCTTTATTTTGCTTTTTCCAGATGATGGCAGCAGCTCCTCCTTTTCCCTTATTGTCTCCTCAAAATATGAAACTGAACCCCCCCCCCCACCCCGAACAATTTTGCTTTCCTCTAACAGGGAAATACATGGAGAAAAATGAAAAGAACACACATCAACTGTTTTAGCTATTGGACAGCCACCTGCAAGTGTCTGTAGAGCAATTCCAGGGGTGGAATTGTGTGGAGTGGACACTGCAGAACAGCTAGGGGAGTGCTGAGGTAACATTAGCATTAATGGTTTAATGTCACAGAGAGAGAGGAACCCAGGCAGTAAACTGTGATTTTATGCAGGAGAGCTCTACACAAATTACTCACAATTACAATATACAGCACACCTTTGCTCTGGCACAGGGTAGTTATATTGTGGCTCCTGGATCTCTTATTTCTGTTTCTGTATCATCTGTGTCCTTACTGGATGTCTCAGAAGGGAGTCTTAGGGCCAAGTGGAGTGGGATACTCTTCATTGGTAATGCTATTTCCCAGAGGGAAGTTAAGGTGGGAAGCTTCATTGTTGTTCTTCCTTGTCTGAAGAAAGGACTTCAATCTTTGCTGCTTTGCCAACATGGTATGTGATTTAGAAGTACTCAGAGAATTCCTTTTACTTTTGTAGGGCTGCTGCAAGCCAAAGAATTAGGGCTGCAGGTCTTTCATGCTGGCACAACGCTGAAGGATGGCAGAGTGGTGACAAGTGGTGGCAGAGTCCTCTCCATTACTGCTGTTAAGGAGGACCTGATGAAAGCACTGGGAGAAGCCAACAGGGGTGTAGCAGCCATACGTTTCAAGGGTGCCACTTACAGGAAGGACATTGGCCATCGGGGTATACAGCTTCTCAAGCAGTCTCTGTATGTAAGCAAAAGCACTAGCAGAAATAGATGCTAGTCCACAGTTTTGGATCTGTTCCCATTTGTGTGCTCAATAATGATTTATGCAGAAAATATCACTACTGCTCCTAGCATGTCCTTTACTCTCTTCAGGGGTCTAATATACAAGGAGAGACATATGGAAGCTGTAACCAGTGAAATTTTGTTTCATCAGCTGGAAACATCAATTGTAAGTGGTACCAGATCAGGTAAGACTGGGAAGACTCTTTGAATTTCTTTGGTACATTGAATGGAGCAGAGCCTTTTTTCCCCAGGAGGTGAGCAATGCATTCTTGGCATTGAAACTTGTGCTTAACAAGTTGGGCTGGGATCACCAAGAAAACTCACACCTCTTTCTCATCACTCCTCTTTTGCGTGATTAAAAAATAATTGGCTTACCATGGAGATGACTGCACATTATCAAGGTTAATCTAGGGAACAGAATAACTCCTGGGTTAACGGAACGGAATCTGTCACTGGACAGAAGTGATCTGGCTGGCTGCATAGATGAGTACAACATCTGAACAGTTATTAGGGCGTGGCTAACAATCACTGAACGTGTTATTTGCACTTCAGACTATGTCCTTTCCTCTTAGCAGTGATCTACTGAGGAGAAATTCGTATTGATTTTTTTCCCCTTAGAAAAAAGTTACTACGTAAAAGGTGAGCTGTTAACTGTTTGGTAAAATGTTTAACTTCTGCTGGACACAATCCATAGGTCAGAAATACAGAATAATAAAGATCTGTTTACAGCACCATGAAATATGTGACTTTGGAGTCCATGCTTCATAAAGCTGTGCATGTTTCTGTCAGTGGACACAGTGCTGTTTTCTCCAAGAAATCATAATTTGCAGTACTTTGTCTTGTGGAGTGTTTCGGGTCTTTTTATTTCCCTTAAAATGATCCTTGACATGTTTGTATTTGGCAGGCTGTCATTCAGAAATAGGAGGCTTTGCTGGTTTCTTTGACTTGAAAGCATCTGGTTATGAGGATCCTATCTTGGTATCTCGAGCTAAAGGCCTTGGACCTAAACTGCAGGTAGCTTGCAAGTTGACTGTAGCATGTTATTGCACTGTCTGAACCTTCTGAGCATTATAACCACATCCCAAGTCCTCCACAATGGTGACTTGAGCTTTGTAGATGATCATTTGAGCAAGGCCTGTGCATATCTTACTGAGAATATGAGGCTCTGGATATTTCGTGATGAAATGATAATAAAAAAATTAGCTGTGCACTTGAGGAACTATGAAACAGCATTTCTGCAATAAGATAGAGGGTCCATTGGCTTCGAGAAAGGTCAGTTCAGAGGAGTACGAGAGAGTGTTAAAATGATAACTGTCAGCTTAATAAACCGTATTCGGAGAAGTGGCACAATCACCTTTGTCAAGGCACTGGGAAAAAGAAGAATGGAGATAAACATTAAAGGAGAAGAGAAGCCAATAGGTAAAGAATGCTAATTACAGAAGAACACATAGGATAAATTGAGTCAGGAATATACTTATATGTTGAATCAGAATAAGGATTTAATCAGAGTTCTGAGGCTGCCTTTCACTGGTCAAGCACAGCAAGTTGTCATGTTTCAAGTTGTTGTTTATACCTTTAGCAATGGGATGATACGGTGTGGCTTCCCACAACAGCAGAGGACTGAACCTAATAATCCAGAAGGTCTTTTGCAGTCTTACATCCTTGGACACCTCTGAGCGTGAAAAAAATTATTGGTGCTGGCTTTTGTGCGTCTTTGTTCCGACTGCTTGGCAGAGAGACATTTCCAACTGCGCTTGCACAGACTGTTCCCAAGACTCTTCCTTGGCCAAAAAACGTTGGCTGATGCCTATACAAATTGTTACTAGATCAGTGGGAGGGAGATGCCATAATGCAGCAAAGGAGACAGGATGACTGGTTTCCATAGCAGTTCTACATCCACTAGATGGAGAAAGAAATCAGACTTGTAGTTCAAACTCGGGCTGTTTTGATCTGTTACCATTTTGAAGTCAGTGGTAGCGTGTATCCACATTTTTCACTTGCCCATCTTTCTGTAGTGAGCTTGTCTGCACAGGTGTAACTACATTGATAGAGCTTTGTCAGTAAAAGGTAATTACCTTTAAAATTTATTCATGCATATTCAATCTTTGTCCTATTTCAGACCCTGAAATGGTAACTGAAAGAGGCTCCACAGTGTGAGCTGGTGCTGTGCATCTACAAGCAGAACTGCTCTAATGTAGAAACTTCTGCTTGTAATATAGTAGTGTAAACGTTTCCACTTTATAGAAGCCATGATGTCTGAATGAGATTTCATTACTTGTAGGATGCAAACACCTTGATAACTTTTTGAAAACCAAATAGCAGCCTTCCTGAGGGAAATGTTACTGCTCTGTAAAAGACCTGGCTTTCAAAGGGACCTAGAGACCAGGCCCATGATTTTGTCCATGACATGAGTTGGCTGACATGAAAAAATTCCTTGGGGATTGTGGGAGTGAAGTCTCATTTCCTGTGGACTACTAAGAAAACTACTTAACAAATTGTTTCAGTTTTGCTGCGCAACCCAGTGAAATTAGTAGGCAAGAGTAAAGCAGAACAGACAGTGATGTTTGAGCAACCTCATCTTATGGTCTGAAATTGCTAGGATGTTCTGTAGGTTGAATATCCTGGGAATTTGTAATTGTGTTTAGACACCTTTTATTCTGGATTTAACATAAATATTTCAAAAAGCAAACGAACAAACACTCCAAACTGCCGATTCCTGGGTAACTGGAACTAGATTTTGAATTAATGTTTCAAAAAAACCCAAAAATAGCTTTATCTTTCCTCTGCAAGAAAGTGAGCTGTTTTCTCTTGATTTAAACTAGATGATGCACCACGTTATTTTCTGCGTATGTTCTGTAGTGATTCTTTTCAGGAAAAAGAAGGTTTCTGCTTATTTGGCTGATTAATATTGGAGTTTTGCATATTTCTTGTCACCACTGCTGCTTCCCACCATGTTTTGCAGATTGCACAAGTGTGTAAAAGACATGACACCATAGGTCAGGACCTGCTTGCCATGTGTGTCAATGACATCCTGGCTCAAGGAGCAGAGCCTCTCTTCTTCCTCAGTTATTTTGCCTGTGGCAAACTTGATGCTGAAGTGACTGAAACAATCAAAGAAGGAATAGCTGAAGGTTGCAGAAATGCAGGATGTGCTTTCCTGGGTATGAATGCTTCTCTCCTTTGAGATTTGAAGATTCTGATGTTGAAATGATTACTAATGAAATAGACTTTGTAGGCAGGGGCAGTATGTGGCATTAGAACTGCTGCTTTCTGTTTGGTGGGAAAAACAGTCAAGCATTTGGGCTTAAATGCTTCCTTATCTGTATAATGGGTCAGCACAGAGGGATGATTTTTACTGTTCATGCATTTGGATTCTAATTCTTGCTCCTTTACCCTTGTACAAAGGAGAACAAAGCTGGATGCCTTACATTCTTCAAGTGTTAATATGTTTTCATTCCCTCTCTGATATTCAGTCATAGCAGGGAGGTGCCAGATGAGTAGCATAAAATAATAATAAAAAGTTTCTTCTTTTAATAACTTCATGAAGCTTTGTTTTGTTGAAGTCTTGAGGTGAAGTAAGAAACTAAGAAGGATTTTTAAAATATATCTGAATGTATTTCTTAGGCTGTGTTTCTGCAGCTGTCCTGGATACATTCCTTATTTTAGGAGATTCTCTAGATTTAAAATTAACAGTAAAACATACTTACAAGTAGTGCTGTCTGCTTTCTGTCCCCACTTAGGCAGGGAGATGACTGAGGTGACTGGCATGTACTCTTCTGGAGAGTATGACCTGGCTGGCTTTGTGGTTGGTGCAGTGGAGCGAGGGCAGATGCTTCTGGGGCTGCAGAGAGCTGAGGAGGAGGATGTGCTTATTGGACTGGCCTCTTCTGGGATTCATGGCCGTGGCTTTAGCATCATAAGGAAGATTCTCTTAATGTCCTCCTTACACTACTCCTCACCAGCACCTGGCAGTTGTGGTGACAAGACTCTAGGTACAATATCTTTCATCTCAAAAGCAAACCTGCAATTGGATTGTGTTCAGACATTTCCACAACTAGGTGCTGCCAAGGGTTATTTACTTCAGGATGGGTCAGTGTTCGTTGAATTTTGGGGTAGGTATGTGGGCTTGTGTCTACAGTTTTGGAAAAGCAGGCCAGCACTTTTTGCTACTTCCCAACGTTGTCTGCCACAAAAAGCAGAAGAGAACCTGAATTGACACTTTTGTTTGCAGGAGATATGCTGCTGACCCCAGCAAAAATGTACAGTCCATCTTTGCTGCCTGTCCTTCGCTCAGGGCACGTGAAGGCTTTTGCATTCATTGCTGAGGAGGGGTTGCTGGAAGGCATCTCCAGAATTCTGCCAGAACATGTCAGTGCTGTCCTAGGTAAATATCAAAGATGACTGTTTCTGTTTGACAAAATTTAGATATAGCATGGACTTGACTTTTCAGCTTCAGTTACAGAGATACTCAGAAAAGTATGTGGCTATGTAGTTGGAGACTGAATGACCCAAAGTCATTCCAAAGTACCTACCAAAAGCATTCCTATTACATCAGCACTTGATGAGCACCAGCCTCTTGTTGGAGACAGGAAATTTAAGGAGAGTTTGAAGGCAGCTCATCTCTAGGGCAGCAGGTGTTTGAGAAGATTGATTGTTCTGCAAGACATCTCTCCATACTAAACACTTTGACCATACAGTGAAGCTGGTTGAGAGAATTAATTTGCATGATTCACTACACACACATATACAAACACATACAGATTTAATGCAGTTTTATGGCAGGTGGTAGCTTCCCCACAACAGATTAGCATTTGACATGTGTAAGTAAGCTAGATTTTTCTCTGCTAGATTTTGCTTTGAAGGAAAAATTGGGCAAAGTACTAAAAAGTTCAAAATATTAAAGAAAACCATATTCATGCAAGTCCAAAGATATTGTGGAGAGGGTAAGGGGGAAGGAATGAGCCTGTCTGTCTGTCTGTATTTCTCAAAAATGAAATTAGAAAGGAAAGAAATAAATCCAGCTGGCAAGGTGGTGCCTAGCTTGCTTGCCAGTGCCTGGAACCACAGGGAAGATAACAAGCCCAAGGGACTGTTAGTTTCCTAAAGTGAAGTCATGATGTCAAGTCTGCACCATCAGGCCATGCCCGTATGAGTAGTATCAATGTCAAAGCCTATCCATGCTTCCCATCCATGTGTAGAACACTCAGCCCTTTTCCAGTCTGCCCATCAATACAACTAAATATAGACTCTTATACTAATATTGATTCTTTGAAGCAGAAAATCCGGATCTGCTTAAGTAGTCTAAAAAAGCCAGAAGGCGATTTGTCCCATGGCTCCTTTATCTCTTATGGAAGAGATGTAAGTCGTCTGTGGCTTTTTTATTCTGGTTGATGAGGGATTCGCCATCATTTCACACATGTTCTCATTAGACAGCCTAGAAAAGACTTGCCTCACACGAATTATGGCTAGAAACCTCTAGGTAAGCAGCACCTATAAAGCTGACTGGAAGTTGGGTCAGTGTCCTCCTTGAACAGTATTCTTAGAATGGCAAGAATTAGTATCTATCAGTTCTTGCAGTACACCACTGTCACTATGTATAATAAAAGACATGCAACAAACATTTGTGCTGACCATATACACATTTCAATCATTTTCAGATGCTTTCAGCTGGAAGATTCCTGAAATCTTTTGCTGGCTTTACAGAGAGGGAAACCTCTCTGTGGAGGAGATGGCTCAGACGTTTAATTGCGGGATAGCTGCAGTGCTGGTTGTGCAGAAGGACCTGGCTCAGCATGTTCTCAAGGACATACAGCGACATGAGGAAGCTTGGCTGATTGGGAAAGTTGTTGCCCCTTGTGATACAGGTTAGCAGGTGTCCTAATGGGAAAGGAAGACACTCACAGAAAATAAGCAGAGCATGCTTTGATTCGAAGTGTAACAGGTTCACCTGGTCTCACTTCAGAGAAGTTTCCACTTAAGCCTGTGCTACTTACTTTTTAAGTTGATCCAGGGTAAGTTGTTTCGGAGTGTAAATCTGTCAAATGCTGAACATCTTCTGGGAGGCACCGGTTGTCATCAGTTCTGTAGGCACTGAGGAGACTCCATATTGCAAAGTTTGTGTAGTTTACATCATTTTTCTGTGGTTTCACTAAGCTGACATCTAGAATTCATTATTAAATTATTATTATTCACATCTAGATTTCATTATTAAATACACAGAGAAGTGACTGTCTTGTTTTCAGAGTCACAGTACTTGAATAATGTCTTACCTAGGTACCTGCTTGAGACTTGAGTAATTCCTTCTAATGACGGTAAAGACTCAAACATTAGGTGATTATATTTTACCACAATCATGGTGATCAACCCCACCTCCTTTGCAACCCCTTCCTTAACTCACACTGATCCTGTGTAAAGATTGAGGATAGGCCACAGCTGTGTATAGTTGTATGTGATTGTAAGTCTTCATTCTGGTGTGTCCATTGATTGACATGCAGCAAGACATGAACCAAAATCCCTCTGGAAACCGAACAGCTTTGTTGGGGGAGCAGTTTGAGCAGCCAAAATGCAACATCATTTTTAGAGTAATTTTGCAACACAAGAGAAAGAGGAAGACAGGTATAAAAAAATGGGGATAATCCTTGAAAAGACCATGCCTTACCTAGGCCTTTGTAAACAGTTCTGCGAGTAACACAAAAGAGATCAGCACAACTAGTGTGAGTTGGTTTGTTCAAGTAGTACATGTTTTTGTAGTCAAGTTAGTGCTAACATAAATTCACTGCTGATATGTTTTCTTTTATTTGAAATTTGTATGATTGATAAACTACACAAAGTAAATTTAGATGGAGAAAAAAATCCAACGTATTTTAACATTTTCCTCACATATTTGGAGAAGGTTCTCACATCGAAGTCGAGAATCTTCTAGAAGCTCTGCAGAGCAGCCCCCAGCATCTGCTGAATAACGCTGTTGTTGAGAGTCAACACCAACCCAGAAAGAACAAAGTTAAAGTAGCTGTTCTCATCTCTGGAACAGGTGAGCTTACATTTATCATCACAGAGATAAATGTCCTTTCAAAGGAGTGGCTGAATCAGCCCTGATACAAGTGCATCCACCTTGCCTGTTTTTAGTAGAGTCTATGGAGCCTTCTAAACCCAAGGTTGTATTTTGACTAGAAATCAAGAAGTTGTATTGTACTGCTTAATAAGTGAGCTTTATTAATGCCCAAATTCCTTAGTCCTCTTCTATTTGTGCAGTTGTTGAAAGCAAGATTTTTGTTAGCTAAACAGGACTGAGAGCCAATTGTCAGTGACACAGGTGCTCATCTATTTCATGAATGTTTGCTCTCTTCATTTGAGGCACAAACCTTGCTGCACTCATCAGTTACGCAAAAGAGCCAGGCAGTTGTGCTCAGGTTGTCCTTGTCATCTCCAACAAGTCTGGTGTTGAAGAACTACGAAATGCAGCCCGGGCTGGAATTCCCACCAGGGTAAAGACACCCTTTTCATTTCCTTCTTATGTTTCATGTTTCACTTCTGTTTAAAACTTTTACTGAGGGTGAGTGGATGTAGCAGAAAGCTGTCAAATTTACCAGCAGAGGCAGAGCTGAAAGCTGTTCAGTGCTCATTGGAGGCTGTGAGTCTTTCCCGTCTCTTCAGTGAGTGCTACACTCCAGAGTTAGGAAGGGACTTCAGACCACAAGTGTTGTGATGATTTGGGTCTGAGACTGTAGCCCATGCAGGTTCAAGCTTTTAACTTAAATCAGTAAGACTTTAGGCTCTGCAAAACACGTAAGTGTGTTGTCTGCTTGGCTAATCCCTTCTTAGAAAGACCTTTGTCTCGTGTTGTGCTCAATCACTTTCAGTGGCACCACACTAGCCTTTTCTCCTGTCTGTGGTCAGTACAATAGCACTATGTTACAGAAATTTTCACTGGTTTGTTTCATCAAAAGAAATCTAGAAAGGCATTACCATCGTGTCACTGTGTTTGTCTAAGCTTAGAACATGGCTTTTGAAAACATTCACCAACTTGGGATTTCAAATGCCACCCACCAGGACTCTTCCTTCTAACGTTAAATAAATTTGAACAGTTACCATGTCTGTACTGTGATGCACAGATGGAAATAGAGGCTCCCCATGCATTAAAAAAGCTTCCTCAGCGGCTGAGTTGGATTCGTGATAATTTGTTTCTAGCAATATAAAGACTCATCTCTAGGGAACAAAAGGAGATATGTCAAAATCCATTCACATTTTCATAGGCAAACACACAACAGATTGTTAGCCCCTTATTTGAATGTCCTTATGGACAGAATCAGGAGTCAACAGTTACCTTAGGAGCTGAGGCTGAGAGGTGGAGTAGACATAAGAAAAGCTCCTGACTTCTCCCCTTCCACAGAATGTCTGGCCCATGTGTTGTCTTCTAGATGAGTTTGTGCTTTTCATTGAGCCACTTCAGGCTAACTGGTGATGGTGATACCAGTGAGTCATTGCTGGTTTTACTTTAGCCTTTGGCTAGACCTTCTGGAATCAGAGGTCAGTATCTACCAATGTGTTCTGCCTTATTTCCCTCTGTACCACATTACCCACGTGTTTCTCTTTTCACAGTTGGCTTCTCTTTGCACCGTTTTTGTACATGTCCTAGAAAGCACCCTGTGTGATACAGCCACTGTCAGCTAGCAAGTGATTTGGGTGTTCCCAGGAATGTTTATATGAATGTGACAAATCACAAATGTCCTGAATAATGTACCCGCTTGTAACGTTTTAAATCCTCAAGTGCCCTGGAATAAATGCAGTTTGCTTTCCCTTTGTTGCCCAAGTAGCTGCTCTCATTCACAGGGGGTTTATTGCCTTAATATGTTTTTTGATGTGTTTTAATGTTTTAGGTGATTGATCATAAGTTATATGGGAGTCGCTCTGAATTTGACAGCACCATTGACCAAGTTCTTGAAGAATTTGCTGTTGAACTAGTATGTCTTTCGGGATTTATGAGAATTTTGTCCAGTCCTTTTCTCAGAAAATGGAAAGGTAAGAAATTAGAAATGTAAAACAGAAATTAAAATATGGATGCTTGCTCTCACCACATTGACACAGTCACAGTTCTTTGTCCTTTGGTTAATCTCTCATGGCCTTGCTGGCACTGAGGTTTGCATGTTAATCAGTGGGGCTGCCCTACACTTTCATTTTTTCCAGCCAGTGGGACTGTGCTGGGATTCTTACTGCGCATTGACAGAGAACTCCCTTGTGCTGGCATAATGAGGAACAGAGGGGCAAAGTAAGGGTCACAGATATGGTCTGTCTGCCTTCCTTCTGGGAAGGAGGATTGCCTGTGGGCAGGCAGGAGTTTTGTTCTGTCTGCAGTAGGGGACAGGTAGCATAGCGATGTTATTCATCAAGGAGCAGTGCTGGGGAGTTGTGCTGACCTTACTCCCTGCAGTTGTCACTCAGAAAAAAAAGGGAGAGAGACTGATTTCTTATCCATCTCCCTCCTGTACTGCCCTGACGGCTACACAGCATAGCATCACTCTGTACTGTGTGCTGTAAGTACAGCCTTACAGCCCGCTGAGTGAATGCGGCTCTGCCATGGGGCAGAGCTTTCTTTAGACACGTTCCAGGCCAGTGGAGGGGAAAAACGCACATTCCTCTTTCCTCTGGGTGCCTCGTGTCAGCTCCCAGGGCTTTGCTCAGAAGCTATTCTCTCACTGTGCGGATTGCATTTGGACAGACTTCTTTGGGAATGATGTTTCCTATGAAAATCACTTCCATCTGTGCAGTGTCTCTGCTTGCGGCTGCAGTGTGAAGTCCTCCGCTTCCAAGCCCCTCTTCTGCAGCATGAGGGCTGGTCACCTGGTAGGGGAGAGACTTACCACTATCTGGCCATCTACAGACACAAAAGCAAATGAGGTCCTTGACCTTAACTGAAACAAGCTTGCCTGGCTACTGCCAAAGCCTGCACACCGTCACCTGTGCTCCTGGAAGAACACCGTTTCCTCAGATCAAGGCAGTGCTTCCTCAGATTGCCTTGGAGATCGTCACACCGTGTGTGTGTTTTGCTTTTTAACCTGAATCTGAACATGCCCTGTTACATTCTGACTGCGGTTGAGGCCATTTAAACTCCTGAGTGGAGATCAGTGCTTCTATTTTGAACTGATGATCACATCTCACTTTTATTTTTAAAGGAAATTCAGTTCAAATTGATTTTTTTTCTTTTTTTTTTTTCCTCCTCTCATACCAATGCCCAGGGAAAATTCTGAATGCTTCCCCATCACTTTTCCCACCAATAAAGGACAGAAATGCCCATCAGCAAGCCCTGCAAGGTGGACACAAAGTCACAGGCTGCACTGTGCATTTTGTCCTGGTAAGTATCCTCTTGCCCAACATTGAGTAAGTTATGAAGAGGAATGTCATGGTTTAAGCCCAGCTGGCAACCAAGTACCATGCAGTTGCTTGCTCACTCCCCCCGCCCATCCCCAGTTGAATGGGGAGGAGAATCGGAAAAGAGGTAAAAATCTGTGGGTTAAGATAAGGGTTAATAATTGAAATAAAATATAATGTAATAATAATAAGAAGAAAGAGAGAGGAAGGAATAAACCCCACCGGCCAAAAGAAGTCCAAGTGATGCTCACCACCCGCCGACCAATACCCAGCTCGACCCAAGCAGCAGTTGGTCCCTTCTGGGTGACTCCTTCCAGTTTATATACTGGGCATAATGTGCTGTGGTATGGAATACCCCTTTGGCTAGTTTGGGTCATGTGTCCTGTCTCTGCTTCCTCCCGGCTTCTTGTGCCCCTCCTCACTGGCAGAGCATGAAAGGCTGAAAAGTCCTTGATCACAGTAAGCATTACTTAGCAGCAGCAACTAAAACATCCGTGTGTTATCAGGATTGTTCTCAGACTAAAGCCAAATCACAGCATTGCACCATATACTAGGAAGAAAATTAACTCTAATTTAAATTAAAGAAAATTAGCTGTATTCCAGACAAGACCAGGACATGGAATTTGCTGTTTTCTTTTATTTCTGAAGGCAGAAACAGGAAGAGGTAACAGGAGTGTGTGGAAATCTTAGGATTGGTACCAGTAAAAACCAGAAGATACGGGGATTACATTGTGTTTGTGGTTTCTTAAGGTTCTGTCTTCTCTCTTCATATTATGGTTTGGGTTTTTTTCAGTTTCTCCTACTCAGCAAACTGCCCTCTCAATCTTCTAGCCCATGTCTCTTTTCCTGCTGTACCCCCTGAGGTAATGTGGGTACCCCTAATGGAGGTGCAAGCCTCTCTAGATGTTCTTCAGGCCTCCTGCACACAACTGCGCACATGCATGCTGAGATCTCTCACGAGACTTTCTCTGCCCTGTCCACATTGTCCATAACCTTCCCAAGACTGTTCGCCAGCCTCTTCTAAAAGATTGCCACTATCCCCATTTCAGGAGGAATCTAGTCCGAAAGCTATGATCCACCAGGAGCCAGTATCTGTGAAGGCAGATGACACGGAGGAGATGCTGTCAGAAAGGGTTAAAGAAGCTGAGTGTCGGGCTTTTCCTATTGCCCTGCAGCTGGTGGCCAGTGGAGCAGTGCACTTAGGAGCTGATGGTAAAACATACTGGAGACAAGAGAGCCAAGGTCTGTGTCTTCAGGAAGAGAAGAGAGACTGCACATCCTCTCCCGTGGCTCTAGAGCCTCAAGAAAACAATGTGGTGTAGCCAGGTTAACAAGTGGCTTGCTGTCTGCTCATCTTTCCCTCTTCTCTCCTCCTCTATGCCCTTGATGTGCTCCTTTTTGACTGCAGGCATATCATTGTCACAGGTTTCCATTCTGAGCCGTGATCCCTTTCCGTTAGCTTGCAGCTTTAGTTACACTTGTTTTGCGAAATTGGCAGCGGAAGCCAAACTCTCATTCCAGATTTTGAATTTTTGTTCTGTTCTTTCATCTGTGAAGGAGATGCTGTGGTACAAATCAAAGAAGGGGCTTAAGATGTAAAAGTGGCCTAGTGCTTTAGAGGGAAATCAGTCCAAGTTTTGTTGGCTGCATCACCACGATGCAGAGCACCAGGAGCTTCAGAAAACAACCACAAATAGGAGCCAGACATGTCTGGGCAGATCAGAAGTGAGGTACAGCCTGGCACAGTGTGGATTTGTGGGTGAACAAGCATTGAGAATGAATGTATAGTTCTGTGGGAGGAGGTGGGAGCCTAGAAGGACCCCATCCTTGTGAGCCCCACCACTGTGGGAGCACCTCAGGGTGCAGAGAAGAGGATACATAAACAAGCACCAGTGTGGGAGCCAGAGTCTAGTGAACTCCCAAGCAGAAGACCCAAAGGCCAAAAGGCAGGGAACCTTAAAAGGCAAACCAAACTGAAACAACCCCACCTTCACAGATTGTCAGTATGATGTGACAGTGCACACTGAACATACAACTAGACACTTTTTCCTGCTCCTTGAAAGGGAGAGGCGCAGAGACATTCCCAGAGTTCCAGATTAAAACATCTGGATCTTGAGGGATGAAAATTTGATTGGAGGACTAGAAACACAAATTTCAGGCATTTTTCTTCCCTCGTCCTTGAAATCAGCAGAACAAGGCATGCTCAGCTTAACTTACAACAGCAGGAAAATCTCTTTGTTGACTGAATGACCGGCTTGGTCCAGAGTCACTGCTGTTAAATAAAGCCTTTTCTGTGGAAGCTATTTTATAGCTGCCAGAATAATGACTTCCATGCAAGTAACAAACCAGAGGAGGAATGTTAGCTAAGAAGCTACTTGAACAAATTAGAAAAGAAGTAGCCAGAGCTAGTTTTCCATTGGAGAGATCCCTAATATCCATCAGATACAGTGAAAAAAATGTATTCTTATTTTGGTATTACACATACTGTACTAGTGAGGGACATACTGTATATTCCCCTCTTGGCTTTATCAGGCTGTTCGAGAGCATGAGTCAGATACAGTTAAAAGTCTAAATTTGTCCTTTCTTTTCTAAAGCATAGCTAATGGTGTTTCAGTAGTTGGGGAGGGAGAAAAATTTGGTTCCCTACTGTGAGGTCTGCATACAGAAATCTGTATCTGTCTTTTGCACTGCAATGACTGGAGAAAGGAATATGTGTTTTTCATGACCTGGGAGAAATAAGAAGATCTGTAACTAGGCAAGATTAAGAAATGTTTGGTATATAGAGATACTTTTTTATGATATGCACATTGCTTAATTTGCTTTTGGTTTGTGGTAACTCTGTAGAAACTTCCTGTTGTGTATTATTTGAATTGCATGGCATGCATGACTGAATGTTCCAAACGTCACAAATAAAATGTTAAAAGAGAACAAGGCGCAAGTTATGGTTTCCAGACAATCACCATGGTATCAAACAACTCCTTCTCCAGTCATGCTGCTGGCATCCCTCTGAGGTTGGGTGCCGTATATTATTAATCTATTATTATAGATTATATATTAATCTATCTACTCTTTATACAGAGTGGTAATTGAAGCAAAGAACTGGATCTAAGATCCAGTTCACACTCACATTTCTTTTCATGCATTTGTAGAAATACAGGTAAGTGCTAAAACCCCATTTGCCATCAGCTTTAGATGGCAGAACACCCTACTCCCCCTCAAGCTGTCTGTGATGAAACAGGGTGTTTGAACATCTGAGCCTTCTGTTGGCCTTCCTGGCACAGATCAAACTGCTTTTATCAGTATTGTACTTATTAACTGTAAGAGTAGTGATTTCACCTCTAGTGGTCTTAACTTCCTCTAACTTGTGAGTTAAGTACAATTTGTTTTGACTTGCAGATGGTTTACTTTGCAATGTAGCTCTGGCACTGAGCTCGTGCGGGCTGAGCCCCTGCCAGGGCTGGACTCTCCCTGCATCTTCTGCATCCTCACTGAGCCAGGCTGGATTTCAAACCTCGGTGGGCAGTTTGCCTGTGGGGATGCCCTTCTGTGGGAGGGCAGGTTTGTAAAGAAAAACTCTGGGATGAAGACTTGGCTTTTACTCTTTGGCCTTTACAAGCAAATCAGATTGGACCATGTCGTTTTCCTCTGTATTGGCTTGAGCTTTATCCTCAGTGACAAACAATGACAGGAATATCTTGTCAGCAAGTTTCTTCATCACGGACCAGCTGGCCACGGACACAGTAAGGTCACCACACTCAGTGAATTGTTCCTGACTTACACAGGACTGCACATGTTGTAACCTCACAAACTGATTTACAGGTGCTGTACTTCAGACAAAGTTAAATTCTGGTTCACAGACTCCTTCTCCAGCTCATCCCTCTGGCAAAGGAATTCCACTGAAAGATTTTGATGTTTAAATTTTTAACTTTATTAGACATGATTTCAAATCCAAATTGAGATTATGTTAACACAAAAGTACCATGAGGACTTTAGTGCACAGAATACAAATTAGCTTTCTCTGTATTAAAGGGGAGCCCTAAAACATACATAATCAGCTTCAGTCAGATACTTCTGGATTGTATGGGGGAAAACTGATTACTTTAGTGAATACATTAAAATGTTTCTACAATTAATATTAAAATATTAAAAAAACAGGTGCTTTTTCACCAGAATTGAACTGTTCAAAACCCTTATTGTTTCCATCAGTATTTCAAGTGAAAATACAGGTCCAAGAATAAAGGCACTTAACTTCACCAGAATTGCTGAAACATGTCTCACAAGCCAAGAACACATTCTGTATCTAGTCCTAACCCTCCTTCTGCTTGTTAAAAAGAAAAAAAGCCAAACAACTATGTTGCTTCTGAACAAATCTTTGAGGCAAATTCATATGTGGATTCACATGGGGATGCCCAAGGGCAAATGGTCATTGGATATTTAATCTATTCAGCACCTGATAGCAAGTCCAGCGCTTGAAATTACGGGCTATTTCCAGAATCTGGGCCAGACAAAATCTACCAACTTTAAAATAGAAACTATATGGGAAAAAGCCAATTTTATTACCTGCAGGAATACTTAGTGTTTTGGGAGGCCAGTTCTTGTTTTGGCTAGAGATTTTTGTGAGTAAAATTTTTGCCTTTAGCTGTCTCTCACATTGTACCGATTCCATTACTTTTCCCCACAGACACTTCACAGCACATGAGAAGAATGTCCTCTGTTATAGCCCATACAGCCTGTTAGACAGTAATACTGATGTTTCCAAGTCAACCTGAGAGATGCTCAAATCTTTCTGTAACCAAGAGAAGGGGTTTTTTGTTTGTTAAGAAATTGATTGAGAGCCCAAATGTTGGCAAATAAAGTGATTATACTTAGGAAACATGTAACGGAGCCATCACTGAAACTACTGAGAACAGCCCCCTTCCTCAATATTTCCATTTGTGGCTTTCTCCAGATTTTCCTTTGAATCCCTGTTCGAGTGAGAACATGACATGGTAAACTCTACGTTGAAAACACTACGCGAAGAGAATACATCGTCCGTGTTACTAGTCTGTGACCTCTGTTTCTATCAATTAAGGCATCCAGCTGCCCCACCTGAGGACGCTGGCAGATGTGATGCTCCTACTTCCAGTAGATCTTACCGGCTTCCCCAACCTGCACAGCCCCACTGGCGACAAGCTGCAGGGCAGCAGGGAAGGCTCGGTGCTCAGCCTCCTTCACCCTTTCGGACAGGGTCTCCACTGTGTCACCAACCTTAACTGGAACCGCCTCTTGGAAAATGATTGCTCCAGCGTCAACTTCCTCCTGTAAAAGCAATAGCCAAGAAGTCTATGCGGTTGAAAGAGGACAACAAATGTAACCCAGCTGCCTTGGGGATCTGTTTATCATTACACTATTACAGAGAACATGAATTTGGGCTCATGTGAGGAGTGCAAAAAAGATGCTGGCATCCACACCGGCCTGCAAGGCACTGACAGAAGTGTAGTGTTCACAGAAAAATAGGAGGTAGGCAGAACACCATCAAGTAACATTTCCGCTACAGAAAAGGAAAGAAAAAAAGCCATGCTAACTGGAGACATGATAGGCTAAATTGGACCAAATGATGACATTTCAATTCAGAAGAGTGAATTAGTCAAGCCATGGCACAGAGCCGGAGCAGAGGACACCGCAGGTCTTTCTTCTGCATGTCAGTGAGGCAGATCCCCGCTGCTGAGTTACTGTTTCTCGGTACATTGCCACACAGAGAAGAAACCCTAAGTCATATCATGGAGAAAGGAATGCAATTTTTCCTTCTTTCTGGAAAATAGTTTTTATCTCCTTTTCCAAGAGAAAGGAAAAATCATGAGAACAGATGTCAGGAGCAGTGGAAAAGGAGAGGATAATCTGAAGAATGCAGCGAAGAGGGGGAGACTAGTTACTGTCAACCCTGAGAACTGAACAACATGGAAAAAATGCACCCTGAGGTGATAAAAATGTGCATCTTCCCAGTGGAGACATCCCTGGCTTTTGTTTTCTTAGTTTCTAACAGAAATTGTGAAGTTTTTCTCCGTTACCACAAACACTGGATTACTTCTCAACAAATCAAAGCTTCTTGCACCATTCCCAGCGTTGTTGGTTGTTGAGTTCTCTTTTTTCCTTTTCTTAAAAGCAATGACTCAGGAAGGTTCTACAATAAAATCTAAGAGTTGGTGCTGTGTAGTAATAAAGATTTGGGGTTAGCCAAGGCCTTATATGAACTAGTACCCCTGCTCCAACTGGTGCTGGTAGGAAGCAGTGGGATGCTTAGGGAAGAAGTTAGCTTAGGTAAAGCCTAAACTCCTGTATAGACTATTAATTTCCAGTTCCTTCTCCAGGGCTGGCAAACTAAAGCTCTATATTGTCTAATAATGTTACAAATGAACAAAGGAGCAAAGGTGATGGTATAAAGGTGTTCCAAGCAAGCTCTGAGGTGAAAATCTTAAGACTAATGAATTACAAAGGGAAGGAGAAGAAAGTACTTACAGCTACAAAGTGTACAGTGCAGCCTGTGACCCGCACTCCAGCCTGTAACACCAATTTGTGGGCATTTGCACCCTTAAAAGAAGGCAGTAGAGATGGGTGGATGTTCAGTATTTTTCCTGAAAATTACAAGCAAGATCATTGCCTTTCAGAATTCAGCCTTACCAGAGTGTTCAAAAGTACCATAATCAACAGAGGAACAAATGACATTAGTGAAGATTTTTCACACCTTCTGCATACACTTCATTTTAATGATACTGACAGACAACCACCCAAAGCATTTCAGAATGTCTCGCTCTTTCAGCAATCAGTTACAATCAATTGCATGGCTAAAGCACATTACTCCAGTGACTAATAGTTTTGATGTAGCTGCTCTTTCCCTCAGCACTTTGTTCTTCTTTGCTTTGATCACAATCCTCTTTCTTAGAAACTCGGTGCAGTTTCAAATGATGTAACAAATGCCCCATGACATGGCAAAAATTCTTTAGCCTGGACTTTTCCTCCACACCTGTTTTGGCTTAATGAAAGACAACAGCTGCTCATACGAGAGCCTTCTCTCTGCCCTTCTGAAAAGCACTTCTCTGTCACTACTGATTTCTATGTGGAAAGTTGGCAGGGGGCTCTTGAAATTGATAATGTAACCTCTAACGCTCAGCCGGATACAACCATAGTTATGTCCCCAGGAAGCATGTACCTTACATTTGCTTTAGAAGAGAAAGCATATGCCTGCGTTCCCACCTAGATGTAAAGTAGGGGAGAGTGGCTGCTCATGACCTCAGGGTCTCACCACTGTGGTAATGCAATGGTTAAACCATGAGAAAACCTTTCTTCTTGCAGACTTCCCCTGTTTGCTCCTAATAGTCTGTGATAACTCCTCATGCCCATTGTGGAGCAGAGTGAAGTCAAAAGGTGCTTGACAGCTCCAGATCTTCTCTTAGATACAGTACAAACCTTTACAGGATAAAAAAAAGTGGCCATCAATACTATTTATACCCCAGAATGTTTCGCCCACGCCGTCTCTGCATGCCTCCTGTTTAGGAAGACCGTATGTCATTGGGATTCACTGAACACCACCTAAATGCCAAGCAGCGAGACGGAGCTGACAGATGCTGGCGGAGGCAGCAGTGTACTGAAATAGAGGCTTATGATTTTGTAATGTGAAGGGAAGGCCATTCCTGGCAGCACTGCGCAAAACCTGCCCTCTCAATGCAGTAATTCATGCAGATGGGACTGTGCAACTTAAAAGAGGCAAATGTATTGGCTGATCTTCAGCAATATCTCAAGTGTGGTTTGTATCTCCAAAATACCCTTTTTTGAGCATCAGCACCTCCCTGCTTGCTGCTCAAGTAAAAAAGTATTGGGGACAGTAGGCTGAAAACAACACTCTGCCCTTTTGTCTTAAGTTTCCCCACTTATTACAATAGCGTCAGAAACTGCTCTAAAGGAATGTGAGTTTCTGTTTGCTTGGTCTTGTTTTGTTTTTTAATCTGTCCTTTACGTTAATATTGAAAATTAACATTTCAGGGCCATTAAGACAGAGTTTCATAAGTAACTTCACACTCAATGTCCTTGTGACTGCGAGAGGAAGAGAAAGCAACAGCTTCTAAGAGAGCTGCAACAAGAAGTGATTACTGGTGGACAATTTAGGGCAGTCAGCACCTGGACATGTGTTGAGTCAGAGTTTTACAGCAGGTTCCAGTTAGCTGGCACAGATCCCTGAGCTCAACTTTGAGCTCACACCTAAGACTCAACTGAAGCATACTCTTGGTCAGCGCTCACACAGGTGTCTATTTTCAAGCTCAATTCAGTGCTGGGCATTTAAAAAGTGAGTTAACCATTCTATACTGAAACAAGTCTTTTCTTTTGCTCTCAGGCCAGTCATATATATAATGCAAATCCTGCACTGTGTAGGGCCATCATGCTCTGTTCCTAAATCAGAGGGAACTAAACCCACCCTTTATTTACAAGGTCTTTGCACTAGAGAAAGTTCTTTTCCATCCTCTACACAGATACTCAAAAGACATCTCCTGTAGCGTGGAATTCCTCTCTCCCAACTACAGCCATCTGCAGCACAGACTTTTATGTCTTCTGGACTCCATAATGAATGGGAAGAAACAAAAACAATTCACCTGACTTTAGCTGACAGCTTTAGCATAAAATGAATTGCCTCCTAGGAATGCCTGGTTTGCTCCACTGGTTTTTAAGAGAGGTGTGAAAAGTAGTTCAGGTGTAAAAGGTCTGTTATCACAGACACACCCAGGGGAACACAAAAGTCACCCTGTGAACAG